GTGGTGGTGGTGGTGGTGGTGTGGCGTGTGGCGGGGCAGTAGGTAGGGGGGTGGCGTGGTGGCTGATAGGGTGGTAGTGATGAGTAATTGTAGGTGCAAGGGTGTGGCAGTTGTAATGGTGGCAGTAATGCAGTGATGTAAAGGAGTAAGTAGTATATAAAGGAGTATAAAGTAAACGGGTACAAAATAGTAGTAATAGTAGTAGTAGTAATAATAATAATAATGATGATTATTGTAACTATAATGTAATTATAAGGATGGAAATTATGATGATTAGTAATGGATTATATAGTGGCTATAATAAATAATAATAATAATAATAAAAATAATCATCATTTTGATCATGCATAACACTATTGTTCACTGTGTTCAACACACAAGCAAAAGTAGATGAATAAATACATACATATATAAATCAGCAGCGTGTAGTAGTAGTAAAAGTAGTATATAGTAGTAGTAATAAATAGTAGTAGTAATAATAGTAGTAAATAGTAGTAGCAGTAGTAGCAGTAGTAGTAGTAGTAGTAGCAGCAGCAGCAGCAGTCAGCAGTAGCAGCAGCAGCAGCAGCAGCAGCAGCAGCAGCAGCAGCAGCAGCAGCAGCAGCAGCAGCAGCAGCAGTAGCAGCAGTAGTAATAGTAGTAAAAGTAGTTCATAAAGAAAAGTGATAAACAAAAAATGTTAGCACACAATTGACATAAAGTAGTAAAAAAGAAAGAAAAAACTCAACAATACTAAGAGCAAAAATTACCACTATGAAATAATACCTATAAAGACAAAGAAAAGAGAAGAGAAGAGAAAATATAAAAAAAAAGAAGAAGAAAAGAAAATAATCATTACAAAAATGGCATGTTATAAAATGTCCATATAGAGTCTCCACTCAATTCTTTTCAATATATCTCTTCCTACTGTCCTTTGAGAAACGCTATAAAACACAAGAAACTGTCAAGCAAATTACAATGCTAAGTGAACCACTCTCTTCTGATCAAGTTCCTTAGAGGATATAATACCTAAAGGATATAAGAAAAAAAAAATCCTTTGTAACTATTAAGAGAAATCTCCAAAGACCAAGCAAGGTCTTAAAAAAGGGCATTTTTCTCCTTTTTATGGCTAGGATAAAGTAGGGATAATAAAATGGAAAAACAGAGAAAAGGAAAAAGAAAAGGGAAAAAATATAAAGAAAGAACTGTTCCACTTTTTGCTAAAATAATCTCTCCTGTTTTTATCTATATGCACTTTTTTTTGTATTTTGTTTTATAAAATGCAAAAATTAATAACAATGAAAACAAAAACAAATAACAACAAGAACACAATTTCCCAAAATGGATGTCTGACCACGCTAAACTTATTGCTGTTTTCTCAAGCTTGACCACAGTCTCTCGCATACTTTCAGAATAAAATATTGAAAACTGAATATTCAAACTGCTGAAGAGAGCAATTCCCGGATCGCATACTGCAGAAATATCTATACTTAGCAGCACTGTCTTGCCTTTCAGAACTCTTCTATAATTATTTATTTCTTCAGGATTCATGCCTAATCTGAGAGTTGTACAATAAACACTGAACATAGTACTAATGTCTCTCCATTTAGAGTTCTAACACAATTACATATATTCAGAGGCACAGGTATACACAAGTATTTTATTTTTCCTTTGTTTCTTCAGAAATGTTTAATTATGCAGCCCCCACATTGTAAAAGTGCATTCACATAGTTGGGGATATTGTGGTCTTCCATGGAACCTTCCTTTTAAAGAGCTATTCTCTCCTAACCGTGATTAAAGATATACAACGTAATACAAAACTGGGTGCTGGGCACATTAAAGAAAAAGAAAGAAAACTTAAGAAAAAAAAAAAAAGTTATTTAGTGGGTACTACGTGACTTAAAAATATTATGGCCTCACATAAAATAATAATAATATCAGGTAATATGAGCATAAGCATCTGGACCCTGTTTTAATCAAACATGAAAGGGCATTAGTAAGTCACCTGGATTTGCACTAAATCTCTATATATTCTTTGGATGCTTGTATTGTAATATGAATCTCACTATAGTTATGGCAGGGAGTGTCATTTTTTCATGATCTTTTAATTTGATTCATTAAACTCTGGTGCATTTTTAAAGCTGCCAAAGAATCTGATTGCCTTTATACAAATAATGAATGTAGAAAGTACATTATGAGTCACTTTCTCTAAGAAATATTGACCCAACCTCTTAGTAACTAAGCTTCACAACTCCAATTACACATGCAAACAATTTCTAAAAGAACTTTTTATACCCAGATTTAGACTATAAGATGAAAAAGCTGTCTCACAGAATTTGATGCAAGATTTACCTTTTGCCAATGTGAAAAAAGTTACTGAGCATTGTTCAAGGTATCACTTTTATATTTCCAAAACAAAAAAGTGATTTATAGTAAATTTAATGACACTATAATGCAAGAGATTTTCCTGTCCTTGACAGAATTATCTTCCACGAGCTAACAATAATATCACTGGCTTATCCATCATCTGTTACTTCTTTGGCCTCCTGAATACTCACTGACTACATTCTCATCAATAATCACAAATAGTGTTAACATACACAATACTTAACATATTCCTTTTAATCTTCAATAAATAAAAATTCATTTCAGAACTATAAACTTCTCACTGTTGAAAAATAATTCAGCTGCATACTTATATCAACCATCATTCCTAATTATACCCCTATCAGATGAAATAATATGAGTTTTGATAGGAAAATTGTTGGCACTAGATTGACCAATAACATGACCACTCTTGCATCTGCATTCGTCATGGACTAGTCTATGTAAGTAAAACAACATTTACTTTAAAACCACAGTCAGCTTGATGCTCAAAACTGCAAATGATGATGACTATCAACACACAATTTTCAGCCCTTGACCTAAGGTAGCTTTGTCAGTTGTGCTGAGAGTTCTGTTCCACAGTGCTGGCATAATGGGTGGCTGTGTTTTTATTATTGCACCATGATATTTTGTACTCAGACCGGACGGTCCTTGGTACGTTTGCACATTTCCTCTATGTTTGCCTCCTTGCACTCAGCACCGCGGTGACCCACCTGCCCACAGTTGTAGCAAGTCTTCTTTGCACCGGCGGACGGATTGGGTGTGTGGGGCAGGACATAGTGGTGAGGGTAAGGCAGCCCAGCAGCAAGGCCAGGGCCCGGAGTGGATGGGGGCCCCATCACATTTGGGGTTCCACAAGCAGTGGCCGGACCACCACCACCACCACCACCACCTTGAGAGTTACCTCCTAACACCGGATACTGACCTCCATATACACCAAATTCTGCATTCATTCCATTGCCCATTGGGGGAAAGGCTATGTTAGGAGGTAATGAAGGGGATACAAAGCCATTCGACAAACCAGAGCTATGGGCTGGCATAAATCCTGGAAGGTGAGGAAACATGTGTGTACCCATGAGCACTGGGTAACTTGGGGCATTGTACTGTACATTACTATGTCTTGCTCCAGAACACAAATTACCAGGAGGTACTTGGGCTGTGGTGGCTGAGGCAATACTTGGGACAGGGGTGAGAGCTACAGGAGGCAAAGAACCATCTGGGTGGGAGGGTACTGTGTGAGGAGAGCCACCATTACGCCCATGACTCCCCCCAGCTGATGTGGTTGGGGCAACATTACTGTCAGTAGATCGTATACAGCACTGTGGATCTTGCTGAACCAGCGGTAAGGAAACTGGTGCAGGGGGCGTAGTCTCACGGCTGGACTTGTCCCCATTCAGTGGAAGAGGATTTCTAGGAGCCACCACATGTGTCTGGGCTGACAAGGGCAAACCCTGGTACCTTATACCTGCCTGGTGAAAACCCACGTAGCTTAGTGGCTGGTACTGCACATAACGGGGTTGTGCTAAGCCAGTGTGAGGAGGCATCAGGACAGGATTAGGGGGATGGTGCAATGGGGGTGGAGTTCCTTCTTCACTAGCACCTGACCCTATTAGTCCTACAGTTTCCCCTGCTTCCCCTGGTTCAGTTCCATCATTTTTACCTGTGAAAAACATAAAAATAAAATAACATCTGACTTGAGAATGAAAAGGCATTGCATTGGTGAACAATACTTTGTAAACAAATTATCCTAAGTAAAATTTTTTACCTCAAGTAAAATGGTCTTAACCCGTAGCCGACGGGTGGCATGTACGTACATGCCAAGGCTGTTGTTGACCGAAACACAGATAGCATCATATCATGCCCATTCCCACGCCATTAGCTTGTCAGACGGAGTTTGTTTTTCTCCGATAGTAGCGGCTTCATTTATATAGTAAAGATTTTAGGCAATAGCACCTATAATGAAAGTAAACCTTCAAAATTTTAATATGTTTATAGATTATAGCAAAATAAAAGCTTTTAGGTGCTAAATGTCGCTCGCAAATTACCGATCAAGCCTGACACAAACAGGGGAAACTGCTGATGTTCACCAACAATCCCGTTCTTACGTCCACTTGCCAAACATTTTTACCTGTCGGCACTGGGTTAATACTGAGTATACTAAAGGAGTAAAAGAGCTCATGTACCTAAGACAGTTAATCACAACTATTATTCAAAGCTAACAAAATGTTGTAACACCAAAAATAGGAAAAAAAGACACACATAAAAAGCTGACAACGCAAGTATCACACCAGCCTTTTCATCAAGTGAACAGCAAAATTTTGCTTTAGTTATTGCCATAATAGTTTGTCAAACAATGAGGGTGTATTTCTAGTCACTGTTATCTCAACTAATTAGTCTGAAAGAGCTGACTCTATGAAGCTAGAACTCCATCAACTTCAAGTACAATAAGAAGATACTTTTGCTTTGTCAGTTTTTCGAAATTTATTCTGAACAAAACAAAATTTGTTACAGCTCTCATTACCCAGGATCATTTAGCAACAAGAAAATGTTGCATTTGTTCTAATAAAGAGAATAAATAACAAAGAATACAAAAGAGGACCTAAGATCTGAAGCTTAGACAAAGTTGGGGAAACACAAACACACTTGTTAAATATTTATCTTCATTACTATAAGGCTTGTTATTCACATACTAAAATGAATGTCTTAGTTACAAACTCCTGATGCAAAAACATCCCAGTTTAACATTATGTAACTACATCATTAGAAAATAAATAAAATAAAATACACACATTCTTCCTGCATCACAGAAAAACTAAAATGTAACAATGTGTTACCTATTAAATATTTCAATAACATTTTATATTTTCTAAATCAATTAAGTGGGATATATGCACTTTCAGGGCTTACTTTTACAAATTCTATTTTCATCAATAGTACTGTAAACAATGCAAAAACCACGTCCTAAATATACAGCTCTTTGTCAAAGATGAACAGGATTACCTTATACATACTTCATACTTCTTTACACTCACTCAAAGCACAAAAAAATTTATTTAATAACAACTTCATTATAGCATAAATGTGTAAAACTTACCTCGTTTATCTGTGTCACGTGTATGATCTGGACTAGGTGTCTGTGGTGGGGATGAATACTGCGAGGATGAAGGAGAAGAGTCCGACGACCTTGTGCCACCTTTGATTGGACCGTGGCCCCTCTGCCCAACCTTGTTGAATCCTCGTACACTGCCACTGCTAATGCTACTGCTGCTGCTGCTACTTCCACCTCTACTGCCACCCCCAGTGCCCACATGTCCTCCTGGTTGATGTGTGGGCTTCATGTGGGCTACATGGCCCATTGGCTGCATATGTGATATATAAACAGGTCTATGGGGATGCTGGGCAGCATAAGACCCTGGAGGAACATAGGTATGCGAGCCTGCAGGGCCCCCTAGTAGTGGGTACAAGTAGGTGGTAGGATATGAACTTCCTGGAGGTACCATTGGCATCAACCCTCCATTAGTGGGTGGGGGAACACCCATGTTCCCAGAGGATGTATAAACAGGCATGTTCATATTATTGGCTACAGTATAAGCTACAGTTGCTGCAGAAGTATAGGCAGGAAGCGGCATATTCCCAGAGGAGGTGTGCATGCCTACCGGGTTGCTGTAACCAGTTATACTCCCAGGCAAGGATGGGGTGGGTCCTGCAATACTACAACTGGCAGCTGCACCACTCTTTACACCTGGTCCATTGTTGCTAGTGTAGAAGGCCTGAAAAGAAAAGATTTATATATTTTACAGTTTAGGTGTTATATCAATCAGTCTTAAACAATAAGAATACCTTTAGCACATCCATAAACATAACTTCAAACCAGTGAAATAATGGAATATATATATATATATATATATATATATATATATATATATATATATATATATATATATATATATATATATATATATATATATATATATATATATACCCCCCACCACCCTAACCCACACATGTTTCTGAAATATGATGCAAACAAATAATGAGTAGTATGTTTGGGTAGTTAATGTCATTCATTTTAGGTAAAAATATCTAAATTACAAAAGATTGAGTAACTGACATACACTTAAACTGAATGAATAACCGTTAGGAAAAGCTTTCCTTATGAATGGAAATAAAAGATACAGAAGGGTACACAGGGATAAGAGAAAAGGAAAAAGAAAGCACAGGCAAAGAGGGAAGAGGAAGATTTGGGCAATTGGGTAGAAAGGGAGAATATATGGAAGAAATGGAAGGAGGAAGAGGAAAAGGAAGAGAAAGTTAATGAGGAGTTAGAGGTTGGAGAACAATATGAGATAACTGAAAGAGGACTGGGAATGGCAAATAAAGGAGGAAAAGGACAAAAGGCAGATAGATGGAAGATTATTTAAAACTAGAGGTGACGGCCATGAATGCATGATGTAAAGAAGAGGCAGGACCTTAGTTAAACCATTATATGAGGAGTACACTAAGAGTATGACAAAAAGTCCTCATTATACAAATGTTAGTAAAACAAAACTGGAAAGCCTGGCATTCAAGCAATCACATTTCTGACCTGCTGGGATCCATTACTGATATTGAGCCCATTGCTTGTGCTTGGAGTAGCTGGTTCTCGCGAAGGTGTGCGGGGAGGAACGCACAGTGGAGGTGGGGGTGTTCTAAGCTGGCCATGCTGAGGCTGAGTAGCTATGTGGTGTTGACTGGAGCCACCTGATAGTGGTGGAGTCTTCAGCTGGATGCACGGAGGTGGAGTTGTCATGTAGTGAGGAACACAGTTAGTAGCTGAGACAGAAGTAGGCACAGCAGATGTGGGATGAGAGGTAGTAGAAGGTATGGCAGAGCTACAGTTTGAATGAGAACTCTGCACGTTCATAGCTGCAGTGATTACAGGTGTAGCGGAATTTCCGCTACATGAAGAAAATGGTGGTGGTTGTGAAACACTGGGTAATTTCTGACTTGGTGGAATTGTGACTGTATGACATTGAGTGACTTGTGTTGCTGCAACTGGAGAGGCAGATGTGCTTGTTGTTGCAGCAATGCTACCAAGAGAAACAGCTGGGGATATAAGGCTGGCACATGTGATAGTTACCACAGTAACAGCACCAGAGGTGGTGGTGCTCAGGGCAGATGATGGCACTTCAGATTCCAGGGAAGAGGAGGAGGAGGAGGAAGAAGAAGAAGAAGAAGAAGAAGAAGAAGAAGAAGAAGAAGAAGAAGAAGAAGAAGAAGAAGAAGAAGAAGAAGAAGAAGAAGAGGAGGAGGAGGGGGAGGAGGAAGAGGAGGAGGAAGAAGAGGAGGAAGAAGTTGAGGAGGGGGAAGAGGAAGAGATAGTGGTGGTGGTGGTAGTGGTTGGAGTTGGGGTCAGGGTGGTGTTAGGGGGAGAGCTGTTCTGTCGATCTGATGTTCCATTTACAGGATGTTCCATATTTGTGTTTTGATAAGTTTTTCCATGATTTTGTGTTTGGCTCTGCAGTGCTGAGTGTGTGGCATTTGATGTGTGTGTTGTGTGCACACTGTGTGTACTGTTGGAAGTGATGGTGGTGATAGGAGGATTGTGCACTGAACTGGCTTGACTTTGTAAACTGCTCTGGTTAACATTAGGCATAATTTGATTTTGAGTGGCATTATCTGACTGACTGAAAGATGTATGGTTTGCCTGGGGTAATGAGTGCGCATGTGGGGTAGCTGGTGGACTGGTAAAGCCATTTGGACAGTGGTAATTAGGGGATTCTAAACCAGCCAGGACACGCCGTAGCTTTGTTAGGGCACTTTTTGTCAGCCCTAAATCTAGGAGTTCACGGTCTGTCATCCGTTTTAACTGAAAAATGCACAACAGGAAAAAGAGTTAGTGCACATCTGCTGAATGAGCGTAGTTAATTACCCTATATTGTTTAATCAAATAGTAATGCAAGCCTTATATCTTATAATGAGATGGTCCAAACAAGTGACTTACCTTGTCAACTGAATATTCAGACAGGCGCTGATAATACTTGTTCAATTTCTCATTCTTGCAAAACTCATAGTTGAGGCAATTGTTATTATTAACAGCAGAATTTTCTGTGTTAGAAGTATTCATAACAGAACTAGAACTTGCTGTTGACAGTGGTGGTCTTATCCCTGAACTGTTACCAATGGTGTGGACAATTTTCTCTTGGACGACTGGTGATGATGTGTTTCTTGTTGTGGTGGCAGTGGTGGAAGTAGAAGTTAGGGTCTTTTTCTCGCAAAACCAGACAAGACAGAAAATAACACATAAGAGGACCGTTTCAGTCCGAATCGGAATGCAATGTATATTTTTGAAAAGACTTCCTCTAATGTTTTTTCCATTTTATGTCTTATCTTCATTGCGACACGAGGTAGCTTTATGACGATCAGCTTTTACGAGGCAAGGTTCTGAGTGCAGCAGATAATCCAGGCTATAGCAATTAATTCGCTGAATATTTGATGATTGTGAGTAATGGCGGTATATGATTAAAAGTAATTTTGATGTTATAAATTTGTAATAAATACATGATTATAATATAGGAAGAGGATTCTGATATAATAGTACAATATAACTACGAACACATCATATAGCGCATTATAGCCCAAGAGAATAGGGTCAACTGATGCAATATTCTTTTCCACTTCCCTTTGGTGCACGACCGTGTTCCTTGAATCCTTTAAAATTCCTGGATCAGGATTTATGTCATCCAGTGGGATAGACAACCCTGGTAAAAAAAAAACATCTGTTACATGCTTTCGAGGTCTTTTGCGACTAACCACTCTACCAAACATAACCTCCTTCGGGATGATAAACATAGTAATGATTGATAGTATATTGGTGCAATGACATAATGATATTGAATATTAATTGATGATGATGATAATAGTATTAACAATCGTAACATAATACATAATTGATTGATAAAGATGATAATATCATAATTTAATAATAACAGCATAAGTAGATAGCAGAATATAGAAATTAAGGATAGCTGTTGCGTAATCATGAACGTAATCGACGGGATTGTGGCGCGAGGATCGCGGACTAACAGAAGGTTCCATCCTGCTGACGTGTGAGAGGTGTCATCAGTTGTAAAACAGTTACTCGATGGTGTATGGCAGATTGGTCATTTACAATGTATGTTTAGTGTTGTGCTTGTTAAGTTTAGATCCGCCGAGTGGCAGACGTGGTTAACATTGTTGATATGGGAATTCTGAATCGTGACAACTGTTTTTTTTATGTTTGCCGTCTACACGCATACAGGAATTGCTTTCCAATTTTGGTTTATGGAAACAAAATGGGTTCTCTGCGTGAAGCAAGTACCGCAGGTCGAATCCCAATTTTATTCAATTTTTCAAATTATTCTCTTTTGATGCAGTTCGCTTATATCTTGCCAGTTATAGCGCGCGTGAGCGCGGTGTGTGTGTAAGCTACCAGAAAATGTGTCGTAAGGAGGGGTGTCGAACATTCAATATCGAACAGAACGCTCTGTTATATTATTATTATATATATATATATATATATATAATATATATATATATATGTATATTTATTATTTTGTAAAATCATCAATTGTAGAAACTACATCACCAGGAAAAGTGCTGACAGGGAAAATATATCACTGGGAAAAATATCCCGAATGGCCCCCCCCCCCCCGTGGCGCCTCCAGCTAGAGCCGCCGTCACTTGGGTCTCACGGGAGCAATGAGGCTCATTATACAAACGGGGATGAAGCAAACCAACAAACTAATCAGAGTGAAAGCAAACAGCACCGCATGTGCCTGTTTGCTCGCGCGGCCTCGGGCCAGCCGAACGCGCTCCCGGCCGGCGCGCCCCTCCCGCAGAAGGGCCCCGCCGGCAGGACCCTTTTCAGCGCGCCCTCCAGCGCCCAGGCGGAGGGTCTCGACGTACACGGCGACAGGATGATGAAGAACTCCTGCAGGATGAGCGCCAGGAACCAACGTCGATGAGCTTTGGTAGGACGTCCTCGGGATCGTCTTGGCTGACCTGGTTGAAGAAGGTGGACAGGACGAGGAGCGAGGTCAGGGACACCGTGATGCGCGGTCCTGAGGGCGAGAGGGAAGCGCCTGAAGGAGCGGGAGCGGGTCGGGTGGGAGGGGGCTGTCTGGGGGTCTTCTGAAAGCTCTCTTGCACCGAAACATTGTCTTTTGTGAGTGATAACTGTTGCATCTATATTACTAATCATTTTTATTGTTACTCTCACTTGATGCCAGTATCATTATCACTATCATTGTTATCATTGTTATTACTATTTATTTGCTGTTATCTTTTTTACTATCATAGTTGTTATTATTATTACTATCATTGCTGTTATCATAATTCATTATTATAGTTATTTTATTATATCATTACTAATCCTTGTTATTACTATCATTATTATAACCATAAAACATTATCATTAACATCATCAGTGAGAGGCGAGAGATGGAAAGCACATTAGAAAGGTGTCTTTGTTTAACCCCTTTCTCTAAAAAGATATATTTAAGTAAATAAATAAACAGCTAACGGAATAGATAAACCAAAATAACAAGCTAAACAAATAAATTAACAAATAAACAGCTAACAAATGAATAAATAAATAAA